GTTCTGTCCAGGCCGGAGGGATCACTGCCCTCAGTTCGGTTCTGTCCGGGCTGCAGGGATCACTGTTCTCAGTTCGGTTCTGTCCAGGCTGCAGGGATCACTGCTCTCAGTTCGGTTCTGTCCGGGCTGCAGGGAGCTCCGCTGCTCTCAGTGTGGTTCTGTCCCGGTCAGTGCTGGCCGTGTCCTCCGGCCCTGCCGGTCCCACACGTGTCCAGCGTGCCCAGCGCTGGGAGCTTCAGTCCGTGCCTGGCTGAGCTCTCTCCGCGGTGTGTTGGGCACAGATTGTCCTGGTAACACTGACTGTGCCCAGCTCTGGTGCTCCCTGGTGTGCCACGGGCACGCAGGGCAGTGGGGACCACGTGAAGTTGTGTCAGCCTGAGTTCAGAAACTGATCTTGCTTCTCTGTGCTTAAGGTAAACAAGCCAAGGTTAAAACAGTGTAAGAGAAGCGTTTGGAAATATACAGGGTGTTGCAAAGTTTGGAGTTAAGTCGTAGTTAATGCTCTGTGAAAAGATCTAATAGTTTAATCTAATCTGCACTCTTTGGTTCCAGGTTATCGAGCTTGACTTCGACCAGTTACCTGAGGGTGATGAAGTTATAAGTATACTGAAACAGGAGCACACCCAGCTGCACATATGGATTGCCTTAGCGGTGGGTATAGATACAAATGGGGTGTTCAAACAACAGTCACAAGATGGAACAATCATTTCCACTTCCTCACTTTCATGACCAGTGGTAACTGAGTTGTGAACAGGAATGCAGTGGGGTCCTTCAGTCATTGATTCTAGGCCAGATATTTTTGATTTGACATATGCATATTAGGATTTTAATTTCATCTTTTTCAAGAAGCAGTTCTGCTGGAGGCTTGCTTCTTAAGGTGTTGTTTTTTCTCCTCAATCCATAGCAGGCCTGGTTTGGACCTTTGATTATGCACTTCATAAAAAAAGGAGGGGGCAGTATCTTTCCTATGAAAAGTATTGTGAAATGTGAAAAAAAATCAAAGTTCAAAGGAAACCCAGTTGATTCTTCACTTATACATAGCCTAAAAAATTTGTGCTTTAAGGTGCTGAGGCACTGGCACAGGGTGCCCAGAGAAGCTGTGGCTGCCCCATCCCTGGCAGTGTTCAAGGCCAGGTTGGAGGAGGCTCTGAGCAGCCTTTTCTAGTGGGAGATACCCCTGCCCATGGCAGGGGGGGTGGGAACTAAAGGATGTTGAAAGTTCCTTCTGACCCAAACCATCCTGTGATTCTATGGCAGAAAAACACTTGGCATTATCAGAATGCCTTTGTCAGATTATCCCTGCTCTTACGTCTGATTTATACCTACATACCACAGAAAGAATCTGTGTGACCCCTAAAGCATCAGCTCGATAGGTTCTGCACTCGCTGGGTAGTATTGCCTCTTACACCTGTGTTTTCCAGCTGGAGTACTACAAGCAGGGGAAGACAGAAGACTTTGTGAAGCTGCTGGAAGCTGCTCGCATCGATGGGAACTTGGACTACAGAGACCACGAAAAAGATCAGATGACATGCCTGGACACTCTGGCAGCCTACTATGTCCAGCAGGCTCGGAAGGAGAAGAACAAAGACAACAAGAAGGAGCTCATTACACAGGCTACCCTGCTGTACACCATGGCTGACAAAATTATCATGTATGATCAGGTAAGACCCAAGTCTGTTTGAAAACCTGGATTTGTAAATTGTTTAGTTATTCTAAAGAAAACCATCAGTGATTCGCTAAAGGGAAGATAGGAACTGCTCAGGCTTTAGAGTGTAGTGCATGTAGGCAAAACCTGTAAGTATCTGGCACATGTGCATTGCCAGCAGGAGCAGTTATCTCTAGCTTGGCACAGCTCATAGAACTTCTTCAGGCAGCTTGTGGGGGCTGGGTAGGAAGGACTGGTTGTATGTGAACTTTAGAAGGGATGAAAAAAGATCCTTTTTGTTGTGTTTTTCTCCTGATGTAAGAGAAACAGATTCATTGTAGAAAGCATTATAGCATAGCCAGTTAATCCTTCATGTAGTCTAGGCCCCATATTTTGCAAAGATAGGTGTATCACAAGTGTTTTTCTTTGTCTAGAATCACTTGTTGGGAAGAGCCTGCTTTTGTCTGCTTGAAGGTGATAAGATGGACCAAGCTGATGCACAATTCCACTTCGTGCTCAATCAGTCTCCAAATAATATCCCTGCCCTTCTTGGTATGAGTTTATGAGTACTTGTGAAAACCTGTCTCGAGAGTTGAGTTTGGGAATTAATTCTGTGCTTAAGAGGCTGTGTGTGTGAGCAGAGGGAAGGAATGTGGTCAAGAGGTGACCAGAAACACCTAACAGACATGACTTTAAACTTGGGACACATACATAGGCTGAAGAAGTAGGCAGAAGTGTAATGCTAACGAGCATCTTCTGAGACCTGTGGGTGTGCATCCCCTGCAGCTGCTGAAACTGCCCTGAGCTGCCAGGGAGCTGTGTGCTCTGCAGAAGGGGAAGGTGCCACCAGTGAGGGGTTAGCAGGCTGTAACACTTGGCATTTCAGTTGTTCACTGGTCTCAATGTTTTTTCCTCTGGACCAGGAAAGAAAGAAGTTTCTGCAGAAAAATATGAAAATATAAATGTAATGTGTTCCCATGTTTGATTTTATTTGTTTCCATACACTTGTCACGATCAGAGATAATAAAAATTGTAGTTGTCTGAACTTTGTTAGTTTTAACTGTAACTTTTGAAAACTGACACAGCACAAGTTTACTGAATCATATTTTAGCTTCTAGTTTATAGCTGCTTTGTTTTTATTTCTGATTTATTCATAAGTGGTATGTTCTAACAGGTAAAGCTTGCATTTCTTTCAACAAGAAAGATTACAGAGGAGCCCTTGCCTACTACAAGAAAGCACTGCGTACCAATCCAGGCTGCCCTGGTAAGACAGTATTTGCTGTGCTTGCAAACTAACTTGGGTTTCCTAATTCAGATTCAAAGGGCATTTTTGTGGTCTATACCTGCCAAAAGAGCCCCAGCCCTCATTACAGAGGAGTTCAGGTGTTCAATGACTTGAAATGTTCCTTAATTGTTAGAGAAGAAAGTTGTGTTTAGGAATATATTTCTGGTTTTTATCTAAATATTACCTTTTAAAGAGCTGTTAGTATAAGGGCAGCTGTTTGTCAGAGAAATCCAAGAGGTTTGTGGAGGGAGGAACTGTTTAAGACTCATGCAGAACGTATCTGTGAGCCATTGGAATAAGGATTAAGAAATTATGTGTTAGCATTAATAACAAGCCATGAAAAGTGAAATTCTGCCTATAGTGCATGATGTGAGTTTCCCTGGTGTTGTATTATTTCCTTTATGCAAAAATGTGGGAACCTGTCAAAGTGATGTATGTGGTTTAGGTGTATGAATTCAAGGTATTTGGGTTAGGGTCCTAAATACTGATGAGTCTCTGGAGAGATGTGGTGTGCTTTGCCATGACCTGTCTGAGGGAGGGCTGTGTATTCTGGGCTTTGGTTCAGCAAGGAATCACTCTGCAGAAGTGGGTTCAGAAGTGCCAGCCCTGCTTGGCAGCAGACAGCTTCCCTGCACTCCCCACCATGTACACGATACCCAGATTGTCCAAAAGTCATCAGCTGAAACCTGTGTGTTCTGACTGGTGTCACCTTGCTGTCTAGCTGAGGTTCGGCTCGGGATGGGCCACTGCTTCGTGAAGCTCAACAAGCTGGAGAAGGCTCGGCTGGCCTTCAGCAGGGCTCTGGAGCTCAACTCCAAGTGTGTGGGGGCCCTGGTTGGACTGGCTGTGCTGGAGCTCAATAACAAGGAGGTGGGTCTGACTCAGCAAGAATCCTAGCTGCAAAAGTGAAATTTTTATCTTGCCAAAGGTAATCCAGATTTTAAAACGGGTAATAACCTCTGTGGTTAAGTGATCAGAAGTCCGTGCCGCTGTCGAATGATACAGATACTGACTGGTGGTGTGAGCAGCACGTGCTGAGTAACTGTCTCTTGTTGTTAAAAACCCTCAGCTCTGTTGTTTGTGGAGCTGGTTGGTACAGAAAAACAGTGCTAGATGAACGGTTTAAATTAAAATAATAAAAATCCACAGTGAGAGATGTGGGGAAGGTCCAGGTAACAGACCATTCACAGGAGGTTAATCCTGGGCTTTAAGCACATGAGCTTCCAAAGGAGGTTCAAAGCTGTGTTCAGGCTGCCTTGACATGCATGCCACGTGGTAAACCAGAGGGTAGAGAAGAAGAAATTTTAACTGCACTGATAAAACTCTGATTATGCTCATGTAGTTTAATGGGGTTCATAACTTCCTCAGCATGGACGAACCATCTCAGACATTGTCAGTGGAGGATGAGACCTTTAACAGCTTTAAAAAAATAAAAGTTGTTACATAATTGTATGTTGCTAAAATTTAGTGTGTTGCTCTCTGTAGAACACACAGTTCCCTAGAAAGGTCTTTTGTGAGCACAGAATGTCTGAAAGTTGTTTAGTCCACTACATATAGATAAAAACCAAACAGGCACTAGGAGCAGTGACCAACAGAGGGAAAGCTGTCAAGGGGTCAGTGTGGAGTGTCAAAGGACACTTAAGTCTCTTAGTTGTGTTTTTTTTCCTAGAAAGTCCTGCTCTACTTTTCCCATCCCTGTGTAGTGGTTTCCTTTCCCGTTTTCCACCTGTGTGCTGCAGGGAGCAGAGCTGGTAGCTGGCTTGACTTTGCTGTTCAGCTCAGCACAGTTCTGTCAGTCCCTGCACAGCCAGGGCTGAGGAGCAGCTGTGAAGCTGTTAGTAAGATACAGCTGTTGAGGTGTTGCTGATACCTGTCAATGTTTCCTTTAGGCTGATTCCATCAAGAATGGTGTTCAGCTCCTCTCTAGGGCTTACACAATTGATCCCAGTAATCCAATGGTGTTGAATCACTTGGCGAATCACTTCTTCTTCAAGAAGGTAAGAGATCTGTGAGATTTCACAGTTAAATACTTGCTAACCTCTGAACAGCAAGAATTCTGGTGTTGGATTCTGCCTCATTTCATCAGGCTAAGTGGTACCTGGTATGGAACTGTTAATGTAGATGGGCAAGGGTAAAGTTTTTGACCTGAATTTTGTATAAAGCTTGTTCAAGAAAATCAAGAAAAGGTACAATTATTTCTGAAGTGAAGGTCACCTCTGTGTCCTGAAGGGTTTTCATTGTTGGGGATTGTTGGTTTTTTGGTTGGTTAGTTGGGTTTGGGTTGGTTGTTTGTTTTTTTCCCCCTCCTCACTCTCCTATGCTTTAAAATATGAAGTAGAGAAGAGTAACCACTAAAGCTAAATCTGTTGTTGTTTAGTCAGTGCTATCACTAAAGCTTTGTTACATTTTCTAGCTCTCCATGTTTACAGTGTAAATCACCTGACCATAAATAAAGTGAAGGCCTTCAAATTTCGTTTAACTTCCTTTTTTCAGGACTATGGTAAAGTGCAGCACTTGGCTCTTCATGCCTTCCACAATACAGAAGTGGAAGCAATGCAGGCAGAGAGCTGCTACCAGCTGGCCAGGTCTTTCCATGTTCAGGTAGGGCAGTTTTTCCAAGGCCTCTTGGAGCTTACACTTAGAAAATCTGTGTTATAAACATTCATGCAAAGGTTGCCTTTAAAATCACTAACCGATCTTCATTTAATTCATTTTCATTAGGAAGATTATGATCAAGCTTTCCAGTATTATTACCAGGCCACTCAGTTTGCCTCATCTTCCTTTGTACTTCCATTTTTTGGGTTGGGCCAAATGTACATTTATCGAGGGGACAAAGAGAATGCGTCGCAGTGCTTTGAAAAGGTTCTGAAAGCCTATCCTAACAACTACGAGACCATGAAAATCCTTGGATCTCTTTATGCAGCTTCAGAAGACCAGGAGAAACGGGATATTGCCAAGGTGAGTCTTGCTCCTGCCAGAGTCACAGGTATATGTGCAAGAGCAGGACTGGAAAATCAGGCCTGAAATCAGACTGTTCTGTAAGTCACAAAACTCGGGATTAGTTGGCTGTAGGCATGGAATACTCCATACAGGCTGTCATGAGTGACCTGCCTGGCTGAGAAGACAGAACAGGCTCTGCTGGGCTCTAGCTAAAGCACTTCCAGGAATTGAAGGAACTTAAGGAATTTAAGTCCAGGAGCCCCCGACTCATGTTCGCACTTGGTGCCATGGAAAGGGTAGGATTCTTGCCAGAGATATTAAAGTTCTCTGCAGATGGTAAGTTAGCTAGGGATTTCCTGAAGGCAGCAAATTAGCTGTGGTTTCCAGGAAACACTTGTCTTGGCGGATCTGGAGGGACAGTTAGACTTTTTTTAAAGGGAAGGTCTTTTAAATCTGGATTGGGTAAATAAATGGAAGAAGTGTTAGCCCCCATTTCTGTCTGCTCCTGTTGGTGTAATGCTTCTGCTTCACTAGCACTTGGTGCAGGTGTTCCATTCTCCAGAAAACAGCAACGAGGGAAGGAGACGAGTGCAGGTTTTTTGTGGCCAGACTGTGCAGATGCTCAGGGTGTTTTCTTCTGCAGTGTGGTATATCTTTCTAGTGTTCAGGAGAATACCCTCACTCTTTCTTTGAACTTTACCTCCATTTTTTGAAAGTTTGTGTGTCTACAATGTGGCACAGTTATTTTCTGCTGTTTTCCAGGGACATTTGAAGAAAGTCACAGAACAATATCCTGATGATGTAGAGGCCTGGATTGAGCTAGCCCAGATTCTAGAACAGACTGATATACAGGTACGACTAACATACACTTGGTGAATTGTGTGTGTGCTTTTCATGAGAGCACATAAAGCTCATTCTCTTGTTTCTCCACCACTTTCTCCTTGTGAAGGGTGCCCTGTCAGCCTATGGCACAGCCACACGCATTCTGCAGGAGAAGGTACAGGCTGATGTTCCCCCAGAGATCCTCAACAATGTGGGTGCTCTGCACTTCAGACTGGGGAACCTCGGGGAGGCCAAGGTATGCAGTTACTCAGGGTTTGAACTGAGTCCCTTGGTAACCCACCCACAAGCTTTGCTTTAAGAATATTCTGGAGTGCTTCATCCCTCTTTCCTTTCTGTGCTCCAGAAATACTTCTTGGCGTCACTGGACCGTGCCAAAGCAGAAGCTGAGCATGATGAGCATTACTACAATGCCATCTCTGTCACCACGTCCTACAACCTGGCCAGGCTCTACGAGGCCATGTGTGAATTCCACGAGGCAGAAAAGCTGTATAAAAACATTCTGAGAGAACATCCTAATTACGTTGATTGTAAGAGACATTTGGTATTACAGTTCCACAGTTGTCCTTATGATAGCAAAAATCTTCCTGTTTACGGTGTCTCCTTTCTTCTTGTATCTGTCTTCCCTTCTTTTCATAGCAGTTCTGGGGCCTGTTTACCCACTCTTCTCCCTGCTTTTAATTTTTTAAGGCTTGCATCATCCCTATAGCCCAATCTCCAGCTTTAAGCCTTCTCTTTATTGGTAAACCATACTGTACTTCAGAAATCTAGCAAAATCAGCTTCTCTGGACTTGCCTGCCCTTGCCCACTTGCTCCCCACAGGCTGTAGCTCCTCAGCACGTGGGTGCAGTCAAGGCCATCCCCTTGGTGTGCCCAGGCTCTGCAACTCTACCTCAGTGGATGGAAATAGAGACACTTTGGGAGAGTCAGTTTGTCTTGGACCTTGGCCTTCCCCAGGGAAGAAGGGCTGTTGAGGGTGTTAGCACAGCTTCTACAGCACATCCTGGGTTTGCTGCTCACTCTGCTGCTCCTCCTGCCCCAAGCAGCTGACTGTGGGGTTTGCTGCAGAGGTGAGGTGGCAGCCCCTGCTCAGCAAGCTGCAGCACACAGCATGCCCCAACCTTTTCCCTAGGGCCTTTTCCCTACTTGTTGTCCATTGCCACCTGCTGATACCCTTCCCAAAGCTTGTGGAGATGGGAGAGCTATTTTAAGTGGAGGGAGAACAATTACATAATTGAATCTTTCTTTGAGGCTTTTCAATTGTCTTTAACTTACAAAACCAACTTAAAACATTTGCATCACTGTAGCTGTTAGAAACCTGCAGTTTCTGTGTCACCACTGGGAATGGATGTTCCTCCTCGTGGTGTGTTTCATTGTGAGTAGAATTTGGAAGGTGTCTTGAGTGTTTGCTGTCCTTAGCCCATCCAGAAGATTGCTCTTGAAATTCATGGATGGACAGTATTGTCTTTATTCAGGATGACTTTAAGCTGTTCACTGATTTTTATTGTGTTTTATTTTGTTATTTTTAGGCTACTTACGATTGGGAGCGATGGCTAGGGATAAAGGGAATTTTTATGAGGCTTCTGATTGGTTTAAAGAAGCACTTCAGATAAATCAGGTTTGTAACCCTCTATGTGTTTAAAGTTAAAACATTGAAATACTGACTTTTTTATTTTCCTTCTGTTGTGTTTTGATTTTGTTTGTTCACATAAACTAGGGGAAGAAGAGAGATCTACTATGATCTGCTCTATGTGTTTTGTTTGCTGATTGGTTTCCTTTTTCATATGGGTCCTACATCTGGGCCATGGCACAGCTGCAGGTTGGGTGGGGAAGGAATTGAGAGCAGCAGTGAGGGGAAAGACTTGGGAGTGACAGTGGATGAGAAGCTCAGCATGAGCTGCAGTGTGAGCTCAGCCCAGAAACCAATGGAATCCTGGGCTGAGCCACAGGAGTGTGGGCAGCAGGGCAAAGAGGTGATGGAGACCTCAGAGCAACTTTTCAATCTCTGAAGGGCCTACAAGGAGCCAGAGAGGGACTCTGTGTTAGGAACTGTAGGGACAGGACAAGGGGCAGTGGGTTCAAACTGAAGGAGGGGAAGTTTAGGTTAGATCTTAGGCAGAAGTTTTTCCCTGTGAGGATGGTGAGACACTGTCCCAGGTTGCCCAGGGAGGCTGTGGCTGCCCCAACAGCCAGGTTGGCTAAAGCCTTGAGCAACCTGCTCTGGTGGGAGGTGTCCCTGCCCAGGGCAGGGGTTGGGACTGGAAGATCTCTAAGGTCCATTCCAACCCCTAACGTTCTGTGATTGTATGAATTGTACTGAAGAAGAATACACTTCATACCTGGATAAGGAGCCTGGCAAGGCAAAGCTTTTGCAACTTAGAGAGAATTTTTGTTTAGGACCACCCGGATGCTTGGTCTCTGATTGGCAACCTCCATTTGGCTAAGCAAGAGTGGGGGCCAGGACAGAAGAAGTTTGAAAGAATCCTGAAGCAGCCCTCCACACAGAACGACACTTACTCCATGCTGGCTCTTGGCAACGTCTGGTTGCAGACTCTACACCAGCCTACAAGGGACAGAGAAAAGGTAAAGGGTGTCTGTCTGTCCTGTGTGGGCCATGATTTATTTGTGTTTTCTATCCAGAGCCTTTTTTTCATGCCTGTTTGGCATCTTAGAGTGCATAAAACGTCTGGGTACATCTTCTAATACCCCACTGTGGAAGTGAGTGGTCAGTTGGGGTGTCTCTTTCTGCAGGAGAAACGCCATCAAGACCGTGCACTGGCCATCTACAAGCAAGTCCTCAGGAATGATCCAAAGAATTTGTATGCTGCTAATGGCATAGGTGAATATTAGACTCTAGTTTTCCTTCAGAGGTGATCCTCATCTTTGTTTCATGCTTTGTATAGAATAGTTTTCTCAGGGAGGGCCTGGGCACAGCGTGGTGGGGACAGGAAAGAACAGCTTCCTTTGGCAGTGTTGCTGTTGGGGAGCTGTGTTCAGGCAGGATTTCACTCTCCCTGGCTGGGGGACACAGTCCATGAACCTGGAAGCTTACACTGTGCATCTCACTTTCCCCTCAGGAGCTGTCCTGGCACACAAAGGGTATTTCCGTGAAGCTCGTGATGTGTTTGCCCAAGTGAGAGAGGCAACAGCAGATATCAGTGATGTGTGGCTGAACCTGGCACACATCTACGTCGAGCAGAAGCAGTACATCAGTGCTGTGCAGATGGTAACATCTCCAGATTGCTCTGTGTGAGCTGGTGGCTTAGATGAGCTCTGGATGTTTCTCAGTTGACGTGGCAGTCTCTGAACAGTATTTTAACAAGGTCTAGGTCTATTTCTAGCATCCTCTTGACTGTCAGGTCTAGATTTAAAAACAAACTGCCTGATGTGGGTGAAGGGTAACAAAGCACCTACCAATTTGACTTTTTTTTTTTGGTGGCAGAGTTAATACATAATTGGATTAGATTTTTGGGTTTGGCATTAATTATTAGAGGGGCTTCAGACACTGTAGTTACTGTCCCTGATTTACATTCAGGGCTTAGTGAAGTAAATACAATTTGCTGCTGGGATTTTTTAATAGCAGTAATTCTTATTTTTGTTAATGGTGCAATCATTTGTAACAGTTGGAGCAGTCTGAAAAGCTGAATGGGCCTTAGCTGCTGGAGACCTCAGCAGTCCCTCTCCTCCAGTGAACTGTCTTAACAAGCTTTGCTAACACAGCCACGTTTGGTCTGTTGTGTTTGAATGGGCTCTGTTGTTTTTTAGCACTTGGTCTGTTTTAATTGACAAAAAACCTAATGAAAATCCGATTTTAGCAGCTGTTCAAGCAGTGGAAAACTGGGTATCACTTTGACCTTTGATTTGTGCTGTACAGGGGGAGGGTTTCTGGTCAGTGAAAAGGAGACATCCCTGCAGCAGAACACACTTGAAAAAGTGGAAAGCATATTAGCAACAATGCTTTTTAGGAATAATTGCTGGAGTTAGCTAACCAAAACAACAGGCAACTGTCACCTCTTACTTTGATTATTTTAATTTTTTTTTCAGTATGAAAATTGCCTCCGAAAGTTCTATAAGCATCAAAACACCGAAGTATTGTTATATTTGGCGCGGGCACTGTTCAAATGTGGCAAGTTACAGGAGTGCAAACAGACTTTGCTCAAGGTATGAATACAAAGCACGTCACAGAAGCAACTCCTGTCCGTTGGTGTGTGTCTGGGTGGGCTGGGGCTGCAGTGGTGGTGCTGGGTCTGTCACTCCCTGAAGCTGTCAGCTGTGGCTCACAGAGACCCCTGTGTTTGTCCAGGCCAGGCACGTGGCGCCGAGCGACACGGTGCTCATGTTCAACGTGGCTCTGGTGCTGCAGCGACTGGCCACCTCCGTCCTCAAGGACGAGAAGAGCAACCTGAAGGAGGTGCTTAATGCTGTCAAAGAGCTGGAGCTAGCACACAGGTAAAGGTCATAGAATCCTAGAGTCAGCCTGGTTGGAAGAGACCTCAAAGATCATGGAGTCCAACCCTACTGTCATTACTGGATCATCTGCCTTGGGGTTCCCTTGCAGTCCATTTGCAGTAAGGGGCACAAACCTGGGGAAAAGAACAATCCTCTGTGAGGCACTGACTGTAATGAGAACTTCTAGTGGGAAGACAGAATTGGGCCTGACAAAACTGTATTGAGACTTGCTCCGGAGCTAGTTTCCTTTGGCCAGGTGGCCAATATGTGTTTCTCAAAGGGTTGTTCACTGAACAGCACAGAAGCTGTGACAGACAGGGAATAAACCCATCGCGGTCAGCAATGCACTTAGAGCTACTAAATGAAGTCTCAGAACTCTTTTTAGAAGTTTTCCTCCCTGGAATGGTTTTGGAATGTTTTCAGTCTGGGGAGCCCTGAGTGCACTGTTTAACTGTTGCATTAAGAGGGGCAGGCACAGAGGGAAGTGGTGATGTTTCTCAGCTGTTGGGTGGTACAGGATGTCACTCAGCAGTGAATGCTTTTGTTTTGAGGCAAAATGGCAGTAAGTGTGTCAGTAATGCATATTTGCTTAGTGTTGTTTGCTGTTTTTTCTCCAGGTACTTCAGTTACTTGAGTAAAGTAGGTGATAAGATGAGGTTTGACTTGGCACTTGCTGCTACGGAAGCCAGGTAAGAAAAACCAGCCCAAGCACAGAGAAACCCTCCAGTCAGACACCAAGTGGGATGTGTTTGTCTTGTCTTTTTCATATGAAAACTGGATTCCAAAATTGCAGCTGGTAGTCTCTTAGAACAGTTGAAATACAAGTGCAGGGTCACTCCCTACTCCTTCTCCTGTCCTTGCTTTCTAACGTGTCTGTGTAGTCTAAAACTCTCATTGTGTTGGTGTCTGCCACTAGCTGGAGCCTGCAGAGCTTTAGGGGCTTTAATGGCAAACTTTGCATCCATGAGTGGAGTGACATTTATTTCATCTCTGTCTTTTACTGTTTGGCTTTGAACATAATAATCGTAGCAAGGTTCCATCCATGAGTGGAGTGACATATTTCATCTCTGCCTTTTACTGTTTGACTTTGAACATAATAATCGTAGCAAGGTTTGCTTTCAGGGAGATTTTTGGAGGTAGCTGATGGGTAAATAGCTTGGGTCAGTTATTGAAATGTGGCAGACTTGTGTTTTGTGGAGTCTAGACTGCTCTAGCAGTTGCTCAGGGTGATGAGCCCATCCAAACTGGTCTCCTGGTTAGCCTTTTTCCTTAGGTTTTCATGCAGTATGGTCTGTGTTTCATTTGCTGCACATTGTTCCCAGATTTCCGTAGCCCTAGCTGAAGAATGTGTATTGGCCATCGTGCACTGTACCCAAGTGTGAGGCAATATGTTCTGAAATTAGATACTGCCAGATAAATTAGCTTCCTGGAAAGTGCTTTAATCTACTCAAAAATCTCCGCTGCTCTGCTGTTGTGCGATCTCAAGTGGCTCTTTCTCTGTGCTGGGGATATGAGCAGAGTGCTGTGATGCCCTTCAAAGCCCTGTGTGTCTGCAGTGTGTTTGGCACCTCCTTTGCCCGAGACTCTCCCATTCCAGGCAGTGCTCTGACCTGCTGAGCCAGGCCCAGTACCACGTGGCTCGGGCGCGCAAGCAGGACGAGGAGGAGAGGGAGCTGCGTGCCAAGCAGGAGCAGGAGAAGGAGCTGCTCCGCCAAAAACTGCTGAAGGAACAGGTTTGGTTCTGCTCAACTCTCTCTATTGCATCTTTTGAAGTGTACTCTATTTCTTACAAGCCTGTACCTGGTCAGTGTCTCTGCTCCTGTTGCTCGGGGGTGGTACCCAGTAGCTGTTTTTCTCAGAGTAAGTGCTGACAGCAAACATTACAGCTGACAGGGGATGCTCACTCTTTGTCCCCTGTAGCCTCAGAAACAGATTTTTCATGTTACAGGGAACCAGCCCAGGTGTACCAGAAGTGTTGCTATGGGATTTCAGTGCGGCCAGGCTGGCTGAGGGAGCACTTGGGGCACTTCTGCCTGCTCTGCCATGGGCTTGTGGACACTGTGGGTTTTGTCCTGTGGACCTTATGCTATGACACTAGACTGGCAGAAAGCAGCTTTCCAGTTTCCTGACAGCAAATAGCTTACACTCCTGTGGTTCTATGTCCAGGCACAATAGTAATGGTCAGTTTTCTCGGTGTTTCAGGAAGAGAAGCGCCTGAGGGAGAAAGAGGAACAGAAGAAACTTCTGGAACAAAGAGCTCAATATGTGGAGAAAACCAAGAATATCCTGATGTTCACTGGTGAAGTGGAAGGATCAAAGGAGAAGAAACGTGGTGGTGGTGGAGGCAGGGTAGGACAGGGGGGTTGATTCTTTTCAAATCTCTTCATTTCCCCGTTTGGTGCCTGGTCTGCAGGAGCACAGGTTTGCAGTGTCAGACCCCTCAGCTCCACAGAGTGAAACCACACAGGTTTGATACCAAAAGGTAAAACCTGGAAGCTAAGACTTAAAAGCTCTGAGCACAGAGGAGGCATCACTGAAATCTGTTCAGTTGTTAAAATAACAAGGTAATTTTATGACGTGCAAATTTGGAGTCTGTTTCTAAATCATATCAATCTCGAGCCAACGTTTCCCTAATCTCTAGGTGTGTATTTTCATGTCTTTGGAAACATGTTCAGATGGTTTCATTTTGAATTATTCTCTGGTAGCTTTTGAGCTGGAAGGTGAATAGTTGTGTTGTGTCTTATCACAGCGTTCCAAGAAAGGCACAGGGGAGTTCGATGAGTTCGTCAATGATGACAGCGATGAGGATCTGCCCATATCCAGGAAGAAGAAGAAGAGGAAGGGCAGTGGCAGTGAACAAGATGGGGAGGAAGAGGAGGGTGAGAGGAAGAAGAAGAAGAGGAGGAGGTAGGCAAGACTTTAATATCAGACTTCCCTGAGAAGCAGTAGGGCTCCTAGCTGTATCCTCATGCAGTTTTTGTGGCAGTTCACAAACTGTTGTCAGAGGTTTTGTTTGCACCTGCACTTTCCTAAAGTGAAACAGTCACTCTGCAAAAGAGCTAGGAGTAACATGAAACTGGACATCTCTTGAGATGGTATTTTTGTGTGTTTTAAGGTTTTCTTGCAATGTTTTGCTTTATGTCCTGTAACGAGGTGTCTGTTGCAGACCCCAGAAGGCAGAGGAGGGGAGTGAGGATGAAGAACATGAAAATGGGCCACGACCGAAGAAACGACGTCCACCCAAAGCAGAGAAGAAGAAGGCTGTAAGTTAAACCCTGAGCCACTTGCTGAGTGGGCATTTGGAGCTCAGCATCACCCTAGACAGGAGAGATTCGTTAGTGCTGAAAATTGCAACAAAACCTCTTGAAGCTAACTGCCTTTAGGCTTATTTTTATCCTAGAACCCTATTGCCATTGCTGCCTCAAGGAGGAAAAGGACATTTCCAAAGTCATCTAGAATTAAGTGATAGCAAATGGGAAATCTTTTAAAAGCCTGTCTGTTTTGCTGGATGTGTATGTGTCTGGGGCCTGTGCTTTCACCAGCCACAGGAACAAGCAGCTCTTTGTCTTTCCCCTGTACAGCCCAAACCAGAGCGTCTTCCTCCCTCCATGAAAGGAAAGATCAAATCCAAGGCCATCATTTCATCCAGCGATGATTCTTCTGATGAGGATAAACTCAAAATTGCTGATGACGGGTAAGAACCGTAACGAGCTTGGTATGAACTCGGAATTTCTCCGTGCGCCTCGAGAGACGCGGCGTGACGAGACGGCACCAGGGGAACGAGGAGCCTTTCCCTGGGCTCACAGCGTCACTTCTCTCGCAGATTCATTCTGCTCGTTCTCCCCGGGCTGCTCTGCTCTGTCAGCCGCGGGTCGCGTCTCTGAGCAGCTCTTTTCTCTGTCCTGCAGCCACGCGCGGAACAGCAAC